ATATTTTGAAAATGTTATCGTGTATAGAAAATGCAAATATAAATAACCAGTGAAAATTTCATGTATCTACGGTCATTTGTTTAAAAGTTACACCAAAAACCAAATTCGATTTTGTCAAAAACAGATTTTGCGTAAAAATTCCCGTTTTTCCTTAATTTTAATGTTGTTTTTCCTGGCGCTTGTGAAAACTATTGGGAATTTTAAATTTTGACCTCCCCAATGCACCAACGATATTCACTTTCCAATCGAACAAGATACTGAAGTCGAAAATCGAAGCATTATTTCGACTACTTATCGTGTACACAGATACAAAAAAAATAAATAAATAAATAAAAAAATAAATAAACACACATCATTGTAAAATCAATACATTCATCGTTTCACTCAGAATCTAAAATGAGAGCATCTAAAATCCTCTTCGGGATCTTGTAATAAGTCATTGTTGTTGTAAGCGAATATTTTTTTTCTTTCTATAGTATAAAAAATATATAGATATTATCTAGGCCTAGGTATTTTAAATTTGTATATAATAACTATTTTAACTTTCAATTATTTAACTGTGAATATTTTGTTTATCTATCATTTTTAAAAAAAGGTGGGCAAGTGGGTGTCGCTCTGCTGTACATAAGGAACGTAGAACTTACCTATTACATGTTACTTACTAGTCACTGATATTAGGTACTATTTTTATTTAAAACAATGTTTATATTAAAGCATATTATAAATACTGCGCAATTTAATAGTTTATAATGTTAAGTACCTACCTATATGCTATGCCTTTACTTAATAAATAACATGAAAATATTTGTTACTTTCAGAAAGTAGGTACTTATGTAATTAAAATCAAATAAAATATATTTCATAAACTTTAAATTTAATTTTGAACGCTATTTATTACGATACTTATCGTAATAGTTTTTGTGTTCAAATGTGAAAAGTTTATACTTGAACATCTGATGGTATTATAGTTTGAGCTCGAATCAGAATTTTTCAAAAATATGATAATTTAGCACTGTTCTCCTTCTCCTTTTCTCAATAAAAAAAAATAATTATTATTCAATGCTATATACTATATAGGTAGCCTGTTCTGATTGAACGAAGTTATGTCTGCTCAATACCTAAACACAATAGTCATATCCGTATTTTATTTTTTGTAATTAAAAAATCCCGCAACATCAAACTCCGGTAACAAAGGTGCAGTAGTATATTTCATTTATGTATATATTAATCGTAAATATTCATGTATTCGATTATTAGGGTAAAACTACAATTTTATTTGAAGAAATTAAACATAAACATCATCCTCCTAATAACCTGGAGCATCAAATTATATCAAATCAGGTGAAAAGAAAAGCATTGGACAATTTAACAGAAAAGCTGTTAAAAATAGTAAGTAAAACCGACGATATTTCAAATATAAGACACAATTTATATAGAGCTAGGTAGTCGAAAAAATACTCCAACATTGCCCACAAATTTGAGAGAAACCCAAGAAGCTTTACTTAGCATTCCAACACTTACGAATAAAGACGATGAATTTTTATTAATTACCTAATGATTCTGAAAACAAAATAACGAAATTTTCAACAATGGCTAATTTAAAATTTCTTTGTACCTAATCGAGAAAAAATATTTATAGACGGGACATTTTCTTACTGTCTCAAATATTTTTATCAATTATTCACAATCCATACAGTTAAAAACGGTCATTATATTTCATTAGTTTTTTTCTTTTGCCAAATAAAGAAACTAAAACTTATGAAAAAGCATTTAATAGTTTAATTGAGGTACCTATATAAATCGAAATTGTCTGTACATTTTCCACCAGAAATTTGCATTGAAGATTTTGAGCAAAGCATAAATATAAGGCGGTTCTTACGGTTTGACTCAATATAATATTACGTGGTTGCCGATTTCACCTCTCTCAATCATGGTGGAGAAAAATCGAAAATTTAGACTTATCTTCAGAATATAAAAATCATTCAACTATTCAAGTGACATTGGAAAATGGTTTAAATGGATATTCGGCCTACCACTACTTGAACCTGAAAACGTCGGCAGTTTCTTCGCGGTTGATTTTATGAGCATTAAACCAATGGACGAACGAATTGACACGTTTTGTGATTACCTTGTTGATACATATATTGGTGAAGATGCAACTTTCCCACCTTATCTTTGGGTAACATATCAGACGAAAGAATGACAAATGCCTGTGAGTCGTTTCACTCAGCATTTGGGTAATATTTTTACTCACCACATCCAAACATTTTTGTTTTTTTTTTTTAAGTTTTAAAAATTATTCAATTTCAATCGTACATAAAAATAAACAGCGTCGAGAAAGAAAAATAAGAATAAAAAACAAAAAACCATAGTTGAAGATAATATATCCAAGTATTTAAATGGAAATTTAGATATGTTTGAATTTGTACAACGGATAATCTTAGCTACCACTACAAAAAATGATTATAAAGTAATTAAATATAAATCTATTTTTATAGGTATCTACATTTTCTAACTTTAATTTAGTTTCTTTAGATCGAGATTAAGATTCAAGACACTTCATCAGAAAGATAAATTTGTATATAATATATGTATGTAAATTATTTTTATTTAAATTAACTTTTTAATAAAACATTTTTAATACCAGCTCAATAGATGTATACATTTTCCCCAAAATCTGATTTCACCATAATTTTTTTCGTCAAAAATATGACAAAGTCCCCCAAAAAAAATCGCAAAAAAAAGGGTGTCCGGTAAAGTATAAAAGTTAACTTCGAAACTAAGTCCGAGCCCCAAATTCTGACTTCACCATCGTTTTCAGCGTACTTACCTACATATATTTCAATTACAAAAATTGCAAAAAAAAAGGTGTCCGGTAAAGTAAAAATATACCAAATAATTATTCAATTTTAAATTTGATAAATTTTGTCAAAATTCGATCTTTAAATGCTTATAAAAAAAATTGTGCAGCCTATGTATTTTTAATATTTTTCAACTGATATTGTAACAATATATCAGAAGCCTTATATTAAATTTTTACACTTTTTGGCCCAACAGATAAAACTTAATTGATATTCATAGAAAAAAAAACTAAAAAAATTGAAAAATGAAAATATCCGTAAACAGCTCAAAAAGAGTCAAAATATTTTTGCTGTACATTAGGTTACAACTTACAAGTGGGGGGTCGCTGTAATGGATAGTATTAAATTTGAATTTATAATTATATATAATATCATTGTATAAGAAAAACAATTATTTTCAAAATTGTACATTGCATAGGAAATGCTAATATGAACATTCAGTGAAATTTTCATTTATCTACAGTTATTTGTTTTTGAATTATTTATTCAAACCATCAACCAGATAGGTAATATACATATATTTACATGGGTATAAGAAAAAAATGTAATAGTTCTAATTATTATTACTGAATGATATGATGTACCTACCAGCTACCTAGCTAAAAGCTTAAATAACTAAATCAGTGACTTTGAATATCGTTTTTAGATGATAAAACTTGGTTTTCATTTTGAGGAGGCTTTTTCCGGAGATGATCCTAACTATCCTAAATAATGCTAAAATGTAGACATAATGCGGTAAATATTATAACTTGTAAAAATGTTTTTTAGATTAAAAATTGGTAGGGTGGGGGTTGCCCCCATGCCTTAGTTATAATATCCAATGGGGGTAGGTGGGTATAAGTAATTGTTTATTACCACACCTAAAAAAAATTAGTTCGGCGCCACTGATATAGATACAATACAAATACTCAGACATTTTTGTTCTCATAAACATGTAAGGCCTTATAATTTTTCATTTTATCAATATTGAACAATGAACATTCATCATATTTTAAATACTATTTATACTATGTAATATATAATATTCAAATAAATTTTCACTGTCCAACTAAATCCAAAATAAATAGTCAGATGAAGCTAAAGCACCATTTGTATTGTCACACCTGTTCACATGCCTATATTGAATTAAATTTTTTTTTTGAATTCATACAATACATTTTTAGATCTAGTTATGATTAATGTGCGTAATGTAAGCATAATGAATAAAATTATATTAGATAAATTAACAATATAATTAACTCAATATAGATAATATGTATTTATTAACAAGTCATTAATACCTACTTATCACAAACATTACAAAGATGTTCTTTAAAAACTGTATGTAAAAAAAATATCAATAATAGTTCAAATAATTTATAAATAAAAACTAACATAATTCATAAACATTTTTTCTAATAAAAATAAATATCAATGAAAGTTAAAAATAAGTATTTTTTTTATAATTATAATGTTAATTTGGTCATAACTCATAACTGAAATAATTATTTGCCAGTTAATAAATTTATCAGTTTTAATTTAAAATTAATAGATTTAATAATTAATTAGTCCTTAATCCTTAAAGATAAAAACGTGAAGGATGTGAAAATGTTAATGCAATGTACTTTATTTATACTGTTTTAAAGTTCTGTTGATAAGGATTTTTCATAATTTCAACAACTTAATACAAATGAAATATTATGTAAAATAAAATAACATTATTAAAATTTCTTATACATCTAATTAAAATAAACAGAAAACAAATAAATAATAACATAAATAGTAATTTCAAGAAAATTAAGAATAATGAACTGTAAATATAATACAATTTACATTAATTTCATAAATATGGCAATTTAAGACAGCCCTTGAAAACAAAATATTGCATTTTCAATAGCAAAACAAATTTTGAACAATAAATTATCAAATATATCTACATATTATATGATTTTCTTCCACATGAATAGATTTATTTTGCTTCACATAAAAATGATTTTCATATTAATTAATGAGCAAACTTAATTTGTTTTTTTTTTAATAATACATTTGTTTTTATAAAAGCATTACATTCACAAACTTCTTATTATTTGTATTATGTAATATTGTACTGAATCTTGTTTTTAATATAATCGTTTGTTATAGCAGGTTGTACAAAATTGATCAGCTTTCATCACGCTCAATGAAATCCATAATTTGCTTACTTATAATATCAGTAGCTTTTTGTGATTGTGGTATTAAGAATCTAAATACCATCAAAATATCAAATTAATATAAAGTAATATACAACATAATTTTGAAAATGAGTAATAGTAGTAATATTTAAGTTTAAATTAATACATTTTTTGAATTGTGATTAGACCCGGAGGTCTAATCTATCTCTGTATCAAATTTCATCAACATCGGACCAGCCATTTAAGAATGCATTAAGGACACATACGCGCAGACAGACAGACCAACAATAATTTAAATAATATAATATATTATCACAAATGTAAAAAAAATGTAACTGATACCAATCTACTTGAAATAAAGATATAATAAATGAATGTTATATTTTATGTAATAAATACTTTTGGATGTCCCTAATTAGTAATTTGTTAAATCTGAAGTAAAATAAATGTATTTATTCTAATTAGTGGGAGTAGGAACGTAGGAACTTGTTTTAGTTATGTAGCTTACATTGTACGAGATATAGATCTCGGTCGCAGACCTAGTATGAGATGTTCTTAACGATAAATTAGAAGATAATTGTTTTATACTATGCCATAAAATCATTGCATAACACACTAGGTATAACAAAACATTTATCTTTTAAATATTAAAATATGTATATAATTAAGTATTAAGTAAATTATTACTACTATTACCCTAATTTTTTTCATATTGTATACAACTCAGTATGCAAAATAATAACCTGTCTATATCCTTTTCTGCTCCAGAGTATTCAAAAATAATCAAATCCGGTCGTTTCTTGCGACATTTTATATTCAAAATTGTTCCCAGTGAATGATTTACCAATGAACTGATTTTATTAGGATCTTTTGAGTCTAATTTGACTGTTATAAGGTTATTTTTTGTCAACATCAATTTCCTAATATTAAAAAGTATAAAGCATTATACTATCAAACATTTGTTGAATTCAACAAAAAATTACTATTCAGTTTAATAAACAATAATAAGTATATTACCCTGGAATTACTGTTCCATCATTTCTGATATGTTGACAATCAAAGGATGCAATTACATTGGATTTACTTAACAGCATCGACAAACTATTATTATGAGCTGCATCATATAGTTCATCTATTTAGAATTGAAACTTTAGGTTTTATTAATAATAAACTTGTAATTATATTTTTAAATACCTTCTGAATCTTGATTATTATCATCTTCATCTATTGCAAAAACTGGTGCCATATTTCTGTATCTTTTGCTACCTCCGTCTGTTTTTTCATTCTTTGTACTATTGTTATTACTTGATAAAAAATCCATTAATTTACCTTTGACTTCAAACGATTTTGATCTCATCGCCACACTAAGATTTACATATTCAATCATATATTTTTTATATTCATTAATATTTTGAATGATATTTACCCGAGCTTAGAAAACAATTCATTAGTTGAATTTGTTTGAGTCAATCGTTCCTTATTTTTATGAGGGCTACATAGACACTGTGAACATCTATTACGATCATGATCACTCAGGCCATCAATATTGTTTTTTTCAAAATATTCATGGAGTGCTAGTGGAGATTGTGAAGATTATTAATAAAATAAAACAATAATTATTAATTAATTAATTTTAAGAAAAAAAATACGAACCTTGATAGCCACCATTTAACATAGAAACATAGAGAGAATGTTTTTGTAGAAAAGCAGAAACAACCATGTGGGTGTTTTGGTTAGCATCTAAACCACTACCACAACCTGAGAAACACCAATGTTCTCCTCCCCCTGAACGGCCCTCCACAAAGCTCTGCTTTTGACATGATAATAACCCTTCAACCGCAGTCCAAAAAGAAACAGGATCTTCCAAAAGCTTTAAAATAAAAATACAAATTGAATGTTATTTTTAAAATTAAATATTATTCTTTATATTAAGTCATTGCTGCAAAAATTAGACAAATATAAATGTTTTTATGAAATAATAAAAAAAAAAATTCCCTACAAGTGGGTCCTTATAAAATATAAGTAGTTTTTATGGTAAATTTACTTTTGGTTTGCCGTTTTTGCTGCAAATAATGGTCACATTTTAACATACTAAATAAATAGTATGTATAATAATTATATGTATACATTCGACAACTTGGTTATTTTAAAATATAGTTTTGTTTTATTTATAATAATATAGTAGGGTAACCCAGTTAGTATATTTTGAGTGAAGCTCATTACATTTTTATAAATTGTATAATATAGATCATAGTACACAGACAAACCAACTACAGGGCCCATACGTGTCCTTCATAGAATAAAGTAATTAAGTATCTTTCATAGAATTCAAAATTGTAAATAAGTATAATTTTCAATAACATTTTCAAATCATTCAAGTGTTTTTTGATTGACCCAAAAAGTTTCCAAAAGTTAACTTATCTGGCTTTTGCAACAAGTCTTTCATATAATAAATAAAAATATTAATAATGGTGCATACTAAAGTACTGTCCAATGGAAAGGCAATAGGCAAGTGTCCAGCATTGTACTGTTCTGCAGGTCGGCAATCCATAACAAAAAATTTCAAGCTGTTTGTCACTGTTCTATTTGTATGAGATACTAATTCGGTTACACTGATTGGAAGGCATAACATTTGTGAAATTCCTTTATTCTGCAGCTTTGGGTCAAAAATGTATCCAGCAACATCCTGAAAATCATCCCGAATACTAAATATTGTATTTCACAGATATTTAATATTTTAATTACATACTTTTATAAAAGTTGAAGGTGTTTGTTTATCATAATATTCTGCCAAAGACCAAAAATCATTTATATCATCTATGGCCAATTGTGATGGCAAACTCCCAAGAATTTCAATCAATTGTGTTTTGGGTTGATGTTTTAATGAAAATATATGATCCCTAATAATAATAATAACTATAATATTTATAACTTTAGACTTAGATAAATAATTGTTATAAAAATATTTACCTTGCATTGATGATGAATACTAAAGCTAAGAAAAATATAAAAAACTTGTCTTTTTTGGCTAAGTATAAATCCCAAATAGTTAAAATTACTTCTAAAGAACATGTTTCCGAAAATAAAGTTTGTATCTATGAATAACAAAAACAATAAAAATTAGTAGTTATTGAGAACTATTATATTTTAGTAGATTAATAGTTACCCATGAGTCACTATAAAGTTCTGGTCCCAATTTCAGAGAATCTAGTAAATTACACAACTCTGGATCATGATATAATAACAATATCCGTAATAAATGATAACAGTCTTGATGTTTAGCTAAGTACTCTTCATCAACCGCACGGAACATAGTATATGTATCAATTCGGGGTAGTTTTAATGAAATAATTGGCCGAATTATTGATGACCATCTCTTACTTATATCATACGTATCTATATTATATATTTTACACATTGTCACCAGTATTGCTTCAGTGTCTGACAAACAGTTTAATTTTTCATCTTCATCTTCAATTTCTAAAGAAGCTAAACATATTTAAGAACAGGTATAATAAAATGTATTTAATACTTCAATAATATTAGTTTATTCACATACCAATTAACATTTGACAGTCAAGCTCCAACTGCTCTATGTTCTTTATAATTGGTCTCTCATCTAACAAAGTTTGAATAGTATCATCGTCACGAGTCAGTAACTGACGCCACATCTGACCCCTACATTCATTGGCAATCACGGTAAAATTTCCCGATTCTTCACTAAGTGGAGACTCGTCTTTCTCACAAAGAGCTTTTTCTAAAGCTTTCATCCTACACATAAATCATTATTATCATGTAATTAGGCAACATAACATTATGAATCTTGTGTGGGTATACATACCATCCTTCATCTTCTTCTTCAGACATCTTAAATCTTATTTATCTAGACTATAAAATGATGTATTGAATAAATTTGAGAAAAAAACATAGCTGTTACATTATTAATTTACAGTGATTTCTTTGTTAATGATCAAATACTCATAACAGATATACTTCAGCACTAAAAATTAATCATAAAATCATATTAAGCATGATTTGAAAACGTTCAAAAGTAAATAAATCATTATAGTAGTAGTGAACTTTTCTGAAATTTACCATGATTTATTATAGACATTACAGTACTACAGTATTACAGTTAATAGTTAAATAATGTTATCTAATAATATTATGTATTTAATATTTATCAATATTCTTTAGGCAAATGATAAGTCTTTATCTTAGTTCGTGGTACCTATTCCGTATTAGTTTGAAATGAAATTTTTATAGGTTGGCATTAATGTACAAATAGCACAAAACTATAAAATACAAATAAGATTATCTACTTATTACTCATTAGGATAATCTGCATAAGCCTTAGAATATATAGGTAGGTAGGCAATATTGAATATAGCATAGGTAAAAACTATTTTCTATTGAATACCTAGTTAATACTAAATAGATAATAAAAATACGATGATTAAAAATATGCACCGTGCTTATTTTTTGGCAGGTAGGTAGGTACATATTATTATAATGATATAAATATATTATAATGGAGAATTCGATTTTTTTTTCAAAATGAAAATTGAGAAAGGTGTTGCAACGTATTGTTTGGAAACAAAATTAATAGTTACCTCTGAACTAAATACTATATAATATGTAGTTCAGTGATAGGTACTGAATAAATTGATATGACTTAAATTACAATATTATGGTACATGGATGCCTTTAAATTTTAATTAGATAATGGATGCTGAATGCTGATCAGTGATCTGAAAATGTTGAACTGCATAAAGGTCGGCAATTTTAATGACACGATGACAATATAGCAAAATCATCTATTAGACATTAGTCAATACTCAATAATTAGTGCATACCTATTGGCAATTATCACTGGTTATAAATAACTAATAAGTAGGTACTAAAAATACTATATTATATCAATATTCAATGCTATTCCCTACGTCCGTCGACCACATTATGTCTATGAGCAAAACCCGGGTTTTTTTTTAATGATTTTTTCTGACAGCACAAACTTATTCCCACTCTTGGGTTATAGTAGGGAATTTGTTAACGTAGACCAAACCCTAACAAAATTACAAAAAAGAATCATCAACATTTTCTGAAAATGTGAACTGTGCCGGCAATACTACCTAGTATCTACTAACCTACTGTCTACAGTGTAGACTCTACACTCTACTGTATACTGTACTATATATGATATATCTAAATTTTTTACTTTCATAAAACTTCATATAGGTACTCAGAAACGATAATATGTAAAAACATATAAATCACGACTCTCTTGCATGATATACCAAATAAATCATTTTATATTAATGCACTATTTTTATTGTAAATTTGTAAATAATAATTTCATATTTTGTTTGTAAATATAAGTAATAATACTTACTAAGTAATATTCACTTGAAATAGGTAATTTGTAATAAAAATTGTTTATAAAAATAAAAACAATCAATTGACTAGGTACCTAATTTCTTTATAATTTTTGTAATATACTTTTACATCAAATAATAGTCAAAATTAACATTTTGATTTTTAACTGAATTCAAATTCGTCTAGACTACTACAACTTTTACAAAGAAAAATTGTTAGGATATGTTTAAGTAAAAATACTAGTTTTGGTTCAACCAAAGAAAACTTTAAGTTATTAGATGTGTTACCATTAGAGCCTGTATACAAAAAAAATAACTATTGTACCTATACTATAATTAAAAACTTTGAATCCTTTTTGGATATGAAAAAGGTAATAATAAAAAGAAAATATAGGGCATTTGATGTCAAAATGGAATATTAGCTTGGTCAAAAATTCATAGATTATCTAGGTCCCAAAAACTACAACTGAATGCCAGTAAATATAAAAAGGGACATATAATATACAGAAGGAAATCGTACCTATAGGAATGAAAAAAAAATTCAGATTTGGTTATTTTCAATACTTGAATAAATAATAAGAAATAATATTTAACTGTTGTAATTTAATATTAGGTATAAGTATTCTAATTGTATACAATTGATTATTCAGGTCTAGTCAGCTTTTTTTATTCATAATTAAATTGTTCATATTATATTATAAAACTCTCTACCACCACCTTGTGCTTATAATGGGGGTGGATTTTTTTTTGTTTTAAAAAAAATAGTATAATAATTAATAATATAAACAATTTTTAATTTTAATAGAAACATTTTTTTTTTTAGATTCTGAGTGAAAACGATGAATGTATTTTATTTTGAAATTTACTCAATTATTGTTTTATGATATACAATAAAATATATCATCCTGAAATTCTTTTTTTGCACTGCACAAAGTAACAATTTTCACCGCACAATTACTTTTCTCACTGCACAAAGTGTGTCTCACTGGACACTAAAAAAAACCCTGGCAAAACCATAATGTAGTTTCAGTAGACTATACTCTGTTCCACGAGAGATCATGCAGCGCACCGACCAAACTGGTTCCCTTACCCCTACACCCTGTCACTGGTGAAACCAGTTTCGGCAGCAGTGTCTCGTAGGGGGATGCGCAGACCCGGCATGATCTTGTGTAAAAGAGTATACCCTACTCTATGAGCTAAACTCCCTAAAAGGTTAAAGACAAAACATAAGTAGCTAAGTGGTTCCGTAATATAGGTAAACAAGGGTAGATATAATACTAGTATGCGGTTCGAGTAGGTTGTGGTATGTATAGGTAATAGGTACCCTATCTTATACCATGTACCAACGACCCATATGACCTAAATACTTTTATTGCATGGAAGGTACCTAATTATTAGGTCCTAATAATATACACTTTCGAAGCTAAGCGATCATAAAATTATTTATCATTTTTTTACTGTAGGTAGGCACAGAAGGATTCATTCTATGACATTAGTTTTTTTTCTATAAATATCAATAAAATTGTATTTGTGTGCCAAAAAGCTTCAAAATTTAATACAAGGCTCCTGATATATTGCCTAAATAGCAGTTAAAAAATATTAAAAATACATAGGCACAATTTTTTTTTATAAGCATTTAATTTTGGTTTTTGACAATAATTATCAAATTTAAAATTTAAATATTATTTTGTGGTTAAAAATTTATAAAATGTTCAACATTTATAGTTAAGGATTGAAAACTTACAACAAGGTTCCACGTAAGTATGTTATTCTGTAACCAAAAAATCTTTAAAATATAAAAACGCATTTTTTTTCATAACTTTAGTTATTTTATGTTCAAATTTGGAGGATATTACATATATCAATTACATTATATCATTGAATTCCAATTTATTACCATCTATTATACAGTGACTCACTTGTAACCTACTGTACAGCAGAGCAACATCCACTTACCCACCTTTTTTTTTCATTAGTTTATAGGTAGCAAAAATAATACTATACATAATAATATGTACCTAATATTTTTCAGGGTACATTTTTTTTTTAATTTTTAAATTTTTATTTATTCTTCAAGAAGACAATGAGCCCCACTGAACATGTTCGTGTGGGGGCCCATGAGTTCACAATTTGAAATATAAATACATTAAATAGTTCTTATAAATTAAATATTTACAATTTGTAATATACATTTCTCACATACCTAACTTTAATATTAATAATATAAGTAATATATATTTTCTTATCTTTGTTTATATAATATAGTATTATGTAAAAAATTGTGTAGTTAAATATTACAATATAATATGGTAATATAAAACTAAAATTAACAATAATTACTAAAGTCGTACAATATGATAAATAATGCAGTAATCCTATACGTTTGTTATGAGTCTGTCTATATTTTGTTCTTGTAATAGCCAAAGTGTAATTTTTTTTTTAAGAATCTTAAAAGAGTTGCTGTGTTTAATTTCTATTGGTAGTATATTGAACATTTTTGGACCAATAATCAATATATAGGTACCTATACATGCTTTTTAAGAAACATAATTTTATATTTACCTATTATATGGTAGGTCTACTTACAACGGAACAAGTTCAACGAAACCAGGACGTTTTAATAGGAACATCTTACATCAGACTTCGAACTTGACAAAGGTTAGAAGAATTTTTACACTTTTCTTCAAATTTGTCAATAATTGTGAAAATAATAATTCGCAAAAATCCATAATATTTAATACTTTGACCCGGAGTGATGGCCAATCAATCACTGCTCGGACAATTAAAATCGAATATTATACATAACCCTCGATAATCGAGGATCGATTATTGTTATATAAACCGTGCCCGTAACTTTTGAACAGTAAGTTAAAAGTTTCCGTACATTTTACACTTGAATTCAGCATACTCATGCATGTATTTTGAAAAAAAGGGTGTCTGGTAAGTTCGCGTATCCTGGTGTTTTAATTGGATCTTCAAACCTAACCTTAGAATTATTACAGACGCATCAATAACATTAATTATACCACATGTCCACATGTAATAGAATATAATATTATTATAGGTATTGTTAAGCATTGTTGTGTTTTTAATAGTACCTATTAAAAAATGTATTTAAACACCAGAAAACAAATATTACCTACCTATCTATACCGTATATACTTTATATTATACCCAAGTTACTACTTACTTAGGCATATCTAGTCCATACTCCATACATACCTAGCTGTCTATTTAATAAATTAAGTCATTAACAGTAATACTAACATAGGAGCAAATTGACTAAATTTGTTGGGGGAACTCAAGCCCCCCTCCCAATATACCATATTGCGTAGTACCACAGAATATAAAAATTAGTATTAATTACTAGATTTTGAACTGGGGGGACTTGACCGACATTAAGTCTCCCCAAGCCCTCCCCCCCCTATTTGCTTATTATACTAATAAGACTATACTTACACTTTTATATTGATATTAAAAGTTAACCAAATT